TCTCTTCCTTGTCCGTATAACGAAACACTTCTTTTTAAGCTACATTTTGGGGGTGTCTCCTCTTAGAGGAGTTTCTTGCAGATTCCCCTTCTAAAATTATAATAACAACTCTAATTAAAGCTGATATAATCCAAAAACTGACTTGAATATCTTCTGTCCTTCTGGCTTTTTCACCATTTTTCTGAGTAAAATTCTTAAATCTGGTTTCTAGCATCCATTCATCTGGAGACCAAGGATTGTATTCACTAATAAACTTTAAATAAGAACGCAATTGCTGCCTAGTTACCTTTGCTCCACTTTTCACTAAAAAATTCTGCATAAGAGAGATAAACGACTGTGCTCTACACTGGTTCTGGCCCATTGTCCCACTCACACTTTCTGTGGGGGTCTCCGCTGCACTTTCTCTTCTTTCAAGTCCCTGTAGAGGCGCCACTTGTTGCTGTCCCGCAGCAATGGACTTGGTGCACGGAGCCGATAATAACATATGTGGACCCTGACTGATGGTCAAAGCCGAAGTTTATTAGGGCATCAGACTTTATACACTGAAAGTCTGTGTGGGGTAGGGGAAGAAGTATTGAGCTCATCAACAAAACCCATCTACTCTTGATTGGAATTCCTTTTGTTTTGTGTATTACACCAGGTGTTCTCATTTACATGCTGTTTACTCAACCCATACAAATTATGTCCCAAAAGGTAGCCAATTGGTTGTTCTCATGCAAATACTATCCAATGAACTGCAATCCTGTGCTCACTGACCTTCCAGGGTCACAATGTCCTCCTACACAATGTATGCTGACATGATGCATGTCATTTTGGTTAATTGGGTTGTTCAAATCTGAATCCTTTGTTTCCTCGTTCTATGGGTTATGTGAAAAGTATATTCAAATTTGGGCCCGGTGCAGTGGCACAGTGGTTAAGGTCCTTGCCTTGCACGCCCGGGATCCCATATGGGCGCCGGTTGTAATCCCGGCAGCCCCGCTTCCCTTCCAGCTCCCTGCCTGTGGCCCAGGAAAGCAGTCGAGAACGGCCCAAAGCTTTGGGACCCTTTACCCGTGTGGGAGACCAGGAAGAGGCTCCTGGCTTCGGATCGGCATAGCATCGGCCGTTGCGCTCTCCTGGGGAGTGAACCATTGGACGGAAGATCTTCCTCTCTGTATCTCCTCTCTGTATATCCGCCTTTCCAATAAAAAAATAATAAAAAACAAATCTTTAAAAAAAAAAAGAAAAGTATATTCAAATTTGTCATATATGACTGTGGGTTTTATAATACTTCTTTTGAAATATCTTGACTTTTTGGATCTTTATATATTATAAATATGCAAATTTAGGATTCTCATCTTCCTACTGAATTAAACTGCTATCATGAAACATTTAATTGCCAGTAACACAATCTGCCTTGAAAAATACTGATGTAATTTTGCTGTTATGATATACTTTTCCATATCTTTTTATCTCCTACTGAATATTTACTTTTTTAAGATTTATTTATTTTATTATAAAGGCAGATGTACAAAGAGGAAGAGAGACAGAGAGGAAGATCTTCCGTCGATGATTCACTCCCCAAGTGGCCACAACAGCCAGTGCTGTGCCGATCTGAAGCCAGAAAACAGGAATTTTTTTCGGGGTGTAGGGTTTCAAGGCTTTGGGCTGTCCTTAACTGCTTTCCCAGGCCACAGGCAGGGAACTGGATGGGAAGGGGGATGTCTGGGATTAGAACTAGCACCTATATGGGATCCCGGCGCGTTCAAGGTGAGGCACCTTAACCATTATGCTATTGTGCCTGGCCCTGAGTGTTTACTTTTAAAGCATGTTTTTAAAATAAATAGCATTTAGTTAAAAGATACATATTTTTAAAAAACCACATTTTTGAAAATGCAGGTTCACTCCTTTTACATTTGTTATTGGAAAGTATAATTTGGTTTATTCTATAATCTTCTCGTTTCTTTTTCCTTCTGTCCTATTTGTTGTTTGTGTTCCTTTTGTTTGATTTCATTACGTCTCTATGAGTTACACATCACTGTATTTTAAGATGTATATTCATTTAAAAGGCAGAGTCACAAAGAAAAGAGAGAGGGAAAAAAATATTTATCCATTTATCCTGATCGCAGCAAGAGAAATCAGTAGCCTAGAACTCTGTTTGGGTCTCCCACATGGGTGGAAGGTTCTAAGTACTGGGTCATCTCCTGTTGCTTTTCCAGGTGCATTAGCTGGGAATTAGATTGGAAGTAGAGCAGCTGCGACTCAAACTGGCACTCACATGGGGGGATGCCAGTGTTACAGGTGGTGGGTCACATCAGCTCCCATCACTTCATTTTTTGGTGAGAGTGCCACAACCACCTTAACCCACTTGAGTTTATACTACTTTCATCTCCCACTCATAAAAAGATGTAAGCCTTACAATTTTTTAGTTATTTACCCTTGCTTTTGGTGCCTCTGTTTATAACTATTTTGTCTCCATTTTTAATGAACTGCACAAGTCATTAACTGTCAATCCACTTACTGTCACTTGAAGTCCTCTTTTCTTCCTGCAGTTGCTTGAAATTACTGTAGCCTGAAGTTCTGCTTGCTTGTGTCAGATTCTCTGAGATTTTATCTAAAAAAAATGACTTTTTAAAAAGGGTTTATTTAAAAGGAAGGGTTTTAAGAAGAGACAGAAAGCAGCATCTTCCATGTACTGATTCATGCCCCATATGCCTGGGGCTAGGCCAGGCTGAGATGAGGAACCTAGACCTCCACCCTGACAAGGATCCACGCACTGTGGCAATTAGCAGGGAAGAGGAGCAGCTGGGACTTGAACCAGCACTCACAGGGTATGCTGATGTGCAAGTGACAGCTTAGCCCACTGTGCCACAATGCCAGCCCCTCAAGGGCTGAATACTTAGTTTGCAGAATACTTTCATAGGGGTTTAAAATGACAAAAATAGCCTTTTTAGTACTTTAAAGATGGCATTTCATTGTTTTTAGTTTCCTGTGGCTTCAGCCAATGAATGGGTCATAGTCTTACTGCCGGTGTTTTGGGCAATGTAATCACTTTTGCTGCTTTGGAGACCTTCCTACTACTGATTTGGTTCAAAGTGTAACTATGTGTGTTCTTCTTCGTACACAGTCTGCTTTGATTAGACTTACCTGAGGACAACCCCTAAGTGCTTTGTTTTTACATATTGCATTTGCTTCACTCTTAACTCTTCCCAGTAACCTAGTCAGAATGTCTTATGTGTTGTTCCAGTGTTTCTCTCCCTGCTACAGTTGGGTAAATTTTTTAGATCTGTTTTGCCTTTGCTGTTAGCTCCTGTCCATTGTTTGTCAGTTCAAGTGGTGTTTGTAGTTGTAGATTATTCATTTTCTGTTTTAAAAACAACACGTTCCATGTTATATGTGGATTTTCCTTCTTATGTTCATTTTCTTCCTAGCTTTCCTTGAAAAGCTTTGCAATATTTTTTTAGGATTTTAATTTCCATGTCTGTTAACCCATCTTGGCAATCTCTATATGTGTTTCTATTTAGAGCTTTTTGCTTCTGAGCACACTTTATACTTCTCTGCCACGTCACATGTCTACTAATTTTACTGTATGTTGGAAACATACATAAAAGAACCAGGCAAGCTCCACATGATATGTTTTACTAGTGAGGAATCTTATCTTTTTACAAGCTGTGTGAGGCCTGACCACCTCAGGACAGCCATGCCTGGACTTCTTGGTCATTTAAAAAAATGCTAATTTATTTTAAAGGCATAGAGAATATTTCTTCTGCTGATTCATTCCCCAAAAGGCTGCAACAGCCAGAGTAGGACCAAGCTAAAGCCAGGCGACCATAATGCCATTTTGGTCTCTCACTTGAGTGATAGGGGCACCTGCTGCTTTCCCAAGTGCATCAGCAGGGAGCTGGACTGCTCTGAACAGCCAGGACTCAAACTAGCACTCACACCGGAGGCCTGAGTGGCAGGAGCTGGCTTTACTTGCTGTGACCCAACACCCATCCCAAGACCTGTACTTCTGCCCTGGGCTCCTGCAGAGACCAGCTTTTCTCAACCCTGACAGACTAGCAGTTCTGGCTTGGGATTTTAGTGTCACACACCATGAGGCTCCAACCTTGTATAAACTTCTCCAGGCAGAGGGCTGGTGTGATCTCCACACAGGTCCAGCCTCGTCTGTCTCTTTTCCAATCCATCATGCTGGCCTACACAGGATCAGAAGGCCCTTCCTGACAGCTCCTGTGTACTGCTGATGAACATTGCCTGTGTCGGGCCTCAGCAGCTGCGCTGGGGGTCTGGGTGTAGTCAGCCGTTCACTAGATCCCACAGACAGACCATCGTGGACTCACTGATACTGAAATTCAAGTCACCACGCTGAAGGTAGGCTGTTAATCCGAAATCTGAGAGATCAGGAGTGGGTTGCGGGGTGGAGGCATGAAACCACATTTCTGAACAGGCCAAGCATAGCAGGCTCCAGTTGGTGGCGCTCTGCTTTTTCAGTTGCACAAGTAACTCTAGTTCCCTTTTTGTCGTTTCTGCTAGCTTTCACTGAGCTCTTGGCACACTCATTCTATTTTGTAGAATGGGGTGCTGCTTGGATCTGGACTGGAAGGCCAACGTCAGTTCAGACCAAATTGGCTGCAAACTCGTGTTTCGGCCACGTCTGCCTCTCTGGCGCCATGGCTGTTATGTACCGCCTTCCGGCAACGCCGCACTTGCCTTGAGGAAAGTTAATGGCTGCGTCGCCGCGCCAGGCCTGCCGGGGGACGAGGAAGGTCCGGAATGTCCGCCAGGAAACCCGGCGGGAACACGCTCCGCCCCATCTCGGGTCCGGCTCCCGCCCGGCGGCGCCCGAAGCCCAGAGCCTGGTCCTCACACGCCAAACCCGGCGGGTGCGCACTGCGCCTGCGCAGGTCCACGGCGGCCTTCGGGGGTGGGGCCAGAATGTACAGACTGCGCCTGCGCAGGCCGCCGTGGGTGGGGTTTTCTGAGGCCGGCCGGCGCACACGGCGCCTGCGCGGGACAAGGGTGGTGCCTCTGGCGCTGGGGGGGGGGGCACGCTGTGCCCCTCCGCACCCTGTGCCCATCCGTGCTGGGGAGCAGGGGCAGGACTGAGCAGAGGGAGCGCGGCTGAGGTAGGTGTGGCGGGTCCAGGGTGCTCCAGGCAGGATGTGTGGGCTGAGGGACTCTGCCCCTCGTGTGTGTCGCTGGCTGACTGAAGCTCTGTCGCCTTCTGGGACCTCAGCACCCTCCGTGTCCATAGTCCGCCTGGCGTCCAGGCGGCTGACCGCAAGTCCACGCCGGCCCCGCCCCGTCGGTGCCCCGCCCTTCCAGAGCCCCGCCCCCAGAGACCCCGGCTTTCCAGAGTCCCGCCCCTCCGATGCCCCACCCCCTGGAATCACCCCATCCTCCCCACCACTCCCTTTCTGGGCCGCGCCCCTCGAGGCCCCGTGCACTCCGGTCCCTGGCCGGCCTTCCCTGGGCACTTGCTTCCTCCGTGCCTTGGGTGGGTCCTCTCCGTGCCTTGCTGTCTGCCCCAGGACTTGGGTGGGTCCAGATTCCCGGAGGAATTAGCATGTATAGTTATAACGCAAACGCATCTTGCAGGAGAGTTCCTTTCTAGTTGGGAAACAGGGTAGGCCAGGGTCAGGCAGGAGAAGCTGGAGGGTGTGGGTCGCAGCCTGGAGGTGGGCTCCGGGTTCCTGGGTGAGGGTTAGCAGTCTGAGCAGAAGCCTTATTTGCCGCCATTTCGGGGTTGTTGCCATCTCCTTGAGGAGCTGCGATGAGAAAGTTCGTGTCCACACGAGGGCCACCACCGAAGTTTGTCTCTCTGTGGTGAGGGCCTTTTTCGTGTTCCTCAGAAGTGAAGCGTGTTTGATTGCCGAGCAGTGTTAACACACACTTCTCTCTCCCTCAGTGCACATGGAGAAGGAAATGAAATAATCCAGGCAGCAGGGATGAGGCAGAGCCCAAGGAAACCATGGCAATGTCAGGTGACTGCCTCGGGAGCGAAGCTCAGGTAATTCTGATGCTGGTGTTTAAGACTGCTTGAGAGCACCAGCTATGTCCAAGAAAGTGACCACCAGCACTTGGGTCGAAAGGATGCTGAGGTGACTAGATGTTGAGGTAAGAGTGGGTGCTGAGGTGAGGTGGATGCTGGCTGAGGAGAGCGTGGATGCTGAGGTGAGTGGATGCTGAGATGAGTGGATTCTGAGGTGAGGTTGGCACTGAGGTGAGAGTGGACACTGAAGTAAGAGTAGATGCTGAGGTGAGTGGAGGCTGAGGTGAGGTGGATGCTGAGTTGAGGTGGACACTGAGGTGAGTGGATGCTGAGGTGAGTGGATGCTGAGAAGAGTGGATGCTGAGGTGAGTGGATGCTGAGAAGAGTAGATGCTGAGGTGAGTGGATACAAAGGTGAGGTGAGAGTGGATGCTGAGGTGAGTGGACACTGAGGTAAGAGTGGATGCTGCGGTGAGAGTGGATACTGAGGTGAGTGGATACTAAGGTGAGGTGGACACTGAGGTGAGAGTGGACATTAAGGTGAGGTGGATGCTGAGGTCAGTGGACACTAAGGTGAGGTGGATGCTGAGGTGAGTGGATACTAAGGTAAGAGTGGCTGCTGAAGTGAGTGGCTGCTGAGGTGAGGTGGACGCTGAGATGAGGTGGATGTGATGGCGAGGTGAATGTCAGTGTGCCCCAGCATGCTGTGCGTGTGCATCTCCTGAGGACTAGGAGAGGTGAATGTCAGTGTGTCCCAACATGCTGTGCGTGTGCACCTCCTGTGGAGTGGGAGAGGTGAATGCTGCTGTACCCAGCATGCTGTGCGTGTGCACCTCCTGTGGACTAGGAGAGGTGAATGTCAGTGTGTCCCAGCATGCTGTTGCAGCTCTGGAGTTGGACACTGCCCTAATCCATGGCTGAGGCCACAGGAGGTTTAATTGTCTTCTCTGTGGACTCATATTTTCTTACATGTTTTCTGAAGTAAGCCTGAGTTATTTTGCTATTCAGGAAAGTTAAGACTTACATATGGAGCTGGGGTTAAAATGTGTGGCTTGAGATTCTGGGAACTCCAATGGGTGTCTTCCCGGCAGGTTTATTCTGGTGGTAAGTATTGATGGGACGGGGCCTGAGGATAGGACTTTCTCTGGACTCTGAGCGCAGTGTCTGCTCCCAGGCTCTGCTCACATGGTGGAGGTTTGGGCCGCTCACCACCTGCATGGCCCCCGGTGCTGCGTGTGAGTCAGACAAGGTCCCCAGAGCCAACACTTAAGAGATGTGATTTCCTTTCCTGGGCTGATGAACATTTTCCTAAACCATTGCTCATGGGACTGAGGGTGCCTCACCAGAGGGACACTCACGGGGCTGCCTTCTCTAGGCTTCCTGGCCTGATTGAAGATCCAGATCCTTTTAGATTGTAGGTGGAGTGAAGGCAAAGATGACCCAGGTGGTGTCTCATGAATACCTAGCCACTTGCAGCTTTTTCATCTTCTTGAAAGCAGGTTCAGTCTCCAATGCCTGCATCAACCACGCTGGGCCAGTGTGAAGCTAGAAACACTGTCTGGGTCTCGCACAAGGGTTATCGGGGCCCAAGTACTTGAGCCATGATCTGTTGCCTCCCAGGGTGTGCTTTAGCAGGAAGCTGGATCAGAAGTGAAGGTGTGGGGGCTTGAACTGGAACTTTGATTACGCCGCATTATCTCTGTCATGTTCAACCTGCAAGTAACGGCTGTGTCCCAGGCACAGACAGCCTGCCAAAAAGAAGAAAGAGGAGTTCCTCCAGGGTCCTGTCCTTGTGCTGTGCTTGACTCTGAGCAGGAAGAAGAAGCTGTGCAGGCCAGCGAGGCAGAGCTCCTGCAGGAGGGAGTGCAGCCGGAGGAGTTCATTGCCATTGCAGACTACGCCGCCACTGATGAGAACCAGGTAGCCATGTGACCTTCTGTTGTGTGGGCCTCAGCAAGTTCTGTGGCAAGTTTGTAGGCATCCTACCAACAGTCTGCAAAGTGGTACTCAGATTAGGGCCACACAGGCCCCGTGTGTGACCCTCACTTTCCAGTCCAGCAAAGTTTGACCCCTAGAGGATGGAGTGGGGATGGTCAGCAGAGGGAGGGGCACCTGTCCACTCTGTGGTGGTTTCCAGCCCACCCAGCTGGGTAGGGAAGAGGTTGCAAACACAGAAGGAATGTCAGCTGGCTGCAGCATCCCCTGCTCAATGACAGGAAGCCTCCCTGACAGCAGAGCTTGGTCACGGCGAGGAATGCCGTGGTGAGCGGTTTGAAACCATCGATCCTTTTCTGCGAGTCCTCTGCTGGGCCGATGCTCCACATATGCCTCCGAGTCCTGTCGCTGTCACAGGTTGTCAGTTGCAGTAGTTAGGGTTCCATCTTGTAAATCACTGGGATGTCGTCACCAGCAAAGGGGATTTGTCACTGCACCACAATTGAAATGCCTGTTCCAGTGAACGTGTTCTGTCTTTTCTTCTTCAGCTTAGTTTCTTGAGAGGAGAGAAAATTCTCATTCTGAGACAGACGACTGCAGACTGGTGGTGGGGTGAACGAGCCGGCTGCTGTGGGTACATTCCGGCGAACCACGTGGGCCGGGCCGTGGAGGAGTACGACCCCGAGGACACGTGGCAGGATGAGGAGTACTTCGGCAGCTATGGGACTCTGGTATCAGCCCCACATTCCCTGGCTCCTCCCTCTAGTTTGGGTTCTGATATTTCAGCAGTACTTTGGGTGCTGCTTGTGCTGGTTGTTCAGAGCAAGGCTCGCAAATGCTGGTCTTAGGGAGCCATGGGGTCTGTGTACCCGCTCCCCTCAATCCTGCCATTGTTGCGTGAAGGTAACCATGGACAACACGGCCCCGAGTGTGGCTCAAGACACTGGGGTTTGAATTTCTTGTACTTTTCGTGTGTCACAATATCTTTGGACTTGTAAACATTATTCTTGGCTTGGCAGCCTTGCAACAGTAGGTGGTGGGTGGGACCTGGGCTTTGTATGCCTACCCCTGATGTAGAAAGCATTTGGGGCATTGGGTTATGAGGTTTTCTCCGTATTTCAAGATATAGTGAATTCACTTTAAAATAGAATGAGATAAATTATGTAAGTCAGCGATCAGCAGTACTTCAGACATCCCGTGCTTTGATGTTTTTCTTCTGTGGAGAAGGGCCTGTCTTGTTGCTGACATGGCCTGTCGGCAACACTGCCTACATTGAAAATTAGATAAAAACAGCCATTACTTGCAGGTTGAACATGACAGAGATAATGCGGCGTGAGTGTGTGCAAGGTTGATTCAGTCAGAGTTTAAAAGGCCATAGGAAAAGGTGTGTTTGGGCCAGGTGCTTGTCACAGTGGTTCAGACACCAGGAAGACACCTGTGTCCCACAGTGGACGGCCTGGCTCCCTGACTCCAGCGTCCTGCTGCTGCAGACCCTGGAAGGGGCAGTGAGGGCTCAGGTGACTGGATTCCTGCCACCACACCAGAGACCTGCATGGTGTTTCTGGCTCCTGCCTTTGGACCGGGCCCAGTCTCGGCTGTGGCAGGGTATTTGGGAACTGAACCAGTGTACGGGAGTTCTGTCTGCCTTTCTCTTTTCATCTCCTGAATAAATAATTTCAAAAGGTGAGTGCATATAGAAGTTAGGAAACTCTGAGCGTAGTTCAGCTGGTGCCGTGGGGACTGCGACTGTTGAAGTGTGAGAGGGAGGCCTGTGCCGGTGTGGCGGGGCAAGACACTGGTGCCACCTGCTGAATCACTGGATTGGTAAGCTGAGCGCACTTCCTGGTGCGCTCTTTGTGGGGATGCTGTGTCTCAGTGAAAAGTGCTGCAATTGCTGATTGTGTACGTGGTTAGAGCTCTCACCCAGCAAGAAGCAGCCTCAGCGAAAAGCAGTCACCTTCCCTGCTCTGCAGCCCCGAGCTGGGCCTCGCACATGGACACTCCTTTGCCCCATGGTTGCTGTAGGAAGGACACTTGGCTTTGGCTTTGTGTCCCCCATCCAGCTTCCTACCACCTGCCCTCAGTTGTTTGTTCTAAGGTGATGTCCTTAGGAGGAGCCATAAGGGGTCTACAAGGGCCTGTCTTGCTCTCCTATTTGGTAGTGTGACCTTGGTGGGTGTGGGGGTTCTAGAAGGTAGGTCGGTGTTGGCCCCACCCCCTCCTGCTGTTAGGAACTTGTGTGAGCTGTGCTTTCTGTATTGTGAGTCTGCTGGGGAGCAGGTCTGACCACTCTGCTGAGCCCTCTGCCTTCTCAGGGACTAGTCACTTCTCATGTGAGTGTCCTCGAGGGTTGGATGTTTTTCCACTGAGCCTGTGGCTGGGAACTCTGCTCCCCTGAGGGCTAGCAAGGGTGAGTGCCCTTCCCCAGCTGCAGGTGAGTGCTTTCTGAGCACACGAGGGACAGGCTTCCTGCAGCAAGGGAGGCCTGGGGCTCTGCCCACCTCCTCCAGCCTTCTCCTTGTGGTGGTGGGAGATGCCACCTCCGTGGTCTCAGGGAGGCCTGAGTCAGAGAGGTCGCACTGTGCCTCTGTCTCCAGCGTGCCACCCAGAGAGGAGCAGGGAGAAGCTGCAGGCAGCTGCTTCCTGAACTCCAAAGATGTAGTTACTTATTTGAAAGGCAGAGTAATGGAGATGGAGCTTCCATCTGCTGCTTACTCCCCAGATGGCTACACTGACTAGGCTGCTAACCAGGAGCCTGGAGCTCCATCTGGATTTCTCACGTGGGTGCAGGATTCCAAGCACTTGGACCATTAGCAGGGAGTTGGTATGGAAGGGAGCAGCCAGGCCTGGACCTGCCCAGGTTTCAGGTGGTGGCTCAGCACACTTTGCGCAGCTCTGGCCCCTCCCTCTGCTGTCTTCATGCTGAGTTCTGCTCTTGTTTAGTGTGGGGTGCTGGAGCTCTGAGCATCAGCTCAGCAGACCTGGGGTCAGCTCTAGGCCTACCGTCCCTTCAGTGTGTGTTTCCTGCAGAAGCTGCACCTGGAGATGTTGGCTGACCAGCCTCGCACAACCAAGTACCACAGCGTCATACTGCAGAACAAAGAGGCCCTGGAGGGCAAGGTCATCCTGGACGTTGGCTGTGGAACTGGGATCATCAGCCTCTTCTGTGCCCACTATGCACGCCCCAAGGCAGTAAGTCCAACGCCAACGTGTCTCTGGACACTGGGGCCAGAGCAGCTGGGAGTTAACCAGGGGGCCATGTGGATGTGAGGACTCACTGACCGCTCCTTGGTCTTGGTGAATGTCCTAATGTGAGGGTTCATGCAGACCAAGCCCCTAGAGGCTGTTATGTTACATCAGCTGAGGAGGTCCCAAAGGAGCTGTGGGCAGGTGTGTCCACCCAGCACAGTTCCCTGTGAGCTGTGGGTAGGTGTGACCACTCAGCACAGTCCCCTGTGAGCTGTGGCAGGTGTGTCCCGCTAGCACTGTCTCCTGTGAGCTGTGGCAGGTGTGTCCCCCAGGCACTGTCTCCTGTGAGCTGTGGGTAGATGTGTCCTGACCCAGTACTGTCCCCTGTGAGCTGTGGCAGATGTGTTCACCCAGCACTGTCTCCTGTGAGCTGTGGCAGATGTGTTTACCCAGCACAGTTCCCTGTGAGCTGTGGCAGATGTGTTCACCCAGTACTGTCCCCTGTGAGCTGTGGCAGGTGTGTCCCCTAGGCACTGTCTCCTGTGAGCCGTGGGTAGATGTGTCCACCCAGCAGATTTTCAAGAACTGCTCTTGTTCTACCCGGTAAGGGTGCCACCCCAAGACAGTGTGCTTCTTTCCTTACCTTCAGAGTGATATGCCTGACATGTGGGTGCTGTACTAGTGTATTGGGTGGAACCTGTCTCCCTGATGTGGGGGTGACTTAGGAGTGACATCACAGAGTTCCTGAGGCGCTGTATTCGTGTCAAGGGGAGTGATGACCCAGTGTGCAGGGAGTTACCTGACATGGAGTTGACATCCCAGAGTGCTGGGAGACCCATACAGTGTCACCCTCTCAGGCAGTCTGATGGGCATGCCTGATTGGTACTTCCCTAAGCCCTCAGAGCCCTAGCCTGGAATAGTCCTGCACTGGCCCAGCTGCTCTCAGAGGGCCAGGACTGCTGGTGATTGAGAGTGGACTTGCTGGGCAGAGGCCTGGGCCTGCCCTCATGCCCTACAATCCCTGTACTACCAGTTGTGAGAACTGACCCCACTGATGGTGCCCACGTGCAGGTGTATGCGGTGGAGGCCAGTGAGATGGCACAGCACACAGGCCAGCTGGTCCTGCAGAATGGCTTCGCTGACACTATCACCGTGTTCCAGGAGAAGGTGGAAGAGGTGGTACTGCCCGAGAAGGTGGACGTGCTTGTGTCTGAGTGGATGGGGACCTGCCTGCTGGTAAGGGGAGGACTGAGGGGGTGGGTGTGGAATGGAGGGGGTCCTGCCTGCTGGTGAGGGCAGGGCCATGGGAGTGAGGTGTGTAGCAGGCTTGGGCCAGGCACAGTGCTGGCAGGGGTGTGGGAGTGAGGTGGGTAGCAGGCTGGGGCTCGGGCCAGGCACAGTGCTGGCAGGGGTGTGGGAGTGAGGTGGGTAGCGGGCTGGGGCTCGGGCCAGGCACAGTGATGGCAGGGGTGTGGGAGTGAGGTGGGTAGCGGGCTGGGGCTGGGGCCAGGCACAGGGATGGCAGGGGTGTGGAAGTAAGGTGGGTAGCGGGCTGGGGTAGGTGTGGTCAGGTGCCACCCTGGTCTCAGACTCTGAAATCTCCCCAGTTGTTTGATTGGCAAGGGGGTGGTGGTGCAAGTGTCTCCTGTGGCCTGAGCTCAGGGTGTGGTTTTCAGCTGGTGCATGAAGTGTGGGTGTGATGGAGCTGAGCCAGAGGGGATGGGGCCTGGAAAAAATGGACCCTTGTGCATGGCCTGTGCTGCAGTAGCGTCAGATGGGTTAAAGAAGAAGGAGCAAACAGCAGCTGCTATATTATTCTACTGTTGGGGTAAAAAAGGCTCTGCTGAGAATAGACCGTATAAACAAGTGGGGAACTGTTTGACTCAAGCACTCTACCTGTGAGTGGATCTGTACTGCATTGGGGGATGAATGAACCAGGAAAGAATCTCGGCATATCTGGCCGAGCGCCTCAACAAGGTGACAAGAGAACCCCAAGCACAGCGCGGTGGAGAGGGGCTGGGAGTGAGAAGGAAGGCAGCTGGGGACACAGCAGTGCTTGTTGCATCAGAAACTGAGGAAGTGGCGTGAACGTCTCAGACCCTTCTGCTGATGCGTCGCTGCGGGACATGCCCTTGGCCATCACCTGCACACTCCTAGGTGTGGCCGGAGCAGCTTCGTGAAGGAAAATAGGCCAGAATCTCAAAAAGCATTCATGGCAGTGCCAATAAAGTAGGAAAAAAAAAAAAAAGAAACCCTACAAACAGTAGAAATGACAGCTCATGTGATTGTAGTAGAAATGATTCTAGAAAGATCTTTAACACTTAGGAGAAAGGTGGTGACATGGTGCTGTCTTGAAGGAAAGTACGAGGAGTGTGCAGGCTGTGATTCCAGGTTGGAATTCTGCGTCATGACTTAAGCTGCTCCCGGGTCAGCGCTGGAGCTGTGAGGTTGTGCGGGCACCCTGCGTGACCAGGACTCGGGGCCCGGCTGGGCTTGTCATCTCCCTCTGCTTCTCTCCTTTGGAATCTGCCAAGACTTGTCGTTCTGCCAGGCTGAAAAGTCTTCTGGAAGAGGAAGTGTCTCTAAAGTTGTGGAATTCAAGGCTGGAACCCTTCAGGGCAGAAATCTTCAAGCCTTCAGCACCTTCAGCAAGAAAATGCTGCGCGTGCGAAACAGTTACCAGAGCAGGGAACACCACCCAAGCCAGCCTTGCCCTAATACCAAACCAAAGTTAGTACAAAGTATGAAAACTTGTACTCAGTAATCCTCACGAACACAGATGTAAACATCTGCAGGAAAATATTAGGGAACTTCATTCACTGAGATACAAAACGGAAAAAGAACAGCACAACAGAGATTAAGAATTCAAAACTATTGAGAATCTGTCAGTGTAATCACCTTACTAGCCTGAAGAAGCAAAGTCACGTGATCATGGCAGTGAACACAGAAAATGAAAATTTCAACATTGGTTCAAAATTGTATCAGATTTGCTAATAAAATCCTCAGTGGACTGGGGACATAACTCCATCAAGGACGTCGCCCAAGGGTGTGCAGAGATTGCGTTTGCACAGTACTCAGCCGTTGTACTCGTAACAAGGAAAATAGTCAAGCCGCCCTGCATCCAGAAACCAGGACCGTCTCTGCAGAAAACAGCAAAGAACCTGGGGACATCCCAGGACTAGCGAATGTGGACAGCATGGTCACCTGCTGTCGCATGTGGGTGTCCTGGCCGTGCAGTACGTACCGAGAGCACAATCAGGTGACCAGGGTCTGTGTGCTGCAGGCTGTGAGATGCTGACGAGGTCAGTCACAGAAGACCCGAGTGACCAAGGCTGTGCGAGGGGGTCATGTGGGAAGCTCAGCCCTTGGAGGCCTTGGTTCTCATGGTGAACCATAGACAGCACAGCTTAGGCAACACTTCCTTTCTGTAGACACAAACAAGCTCATTCAAAGGAAGGAACTAGAATAGAAGATTGTATTTAGTTGAAAGGCAAGAGTTGTAGCAAAAAAGACCTTCTATCTTCTGGTTTACTCACCAAATGGTTGCAATGGCTGGGCCAGGCTGAAGCTATGAACCTGGAACTCCATTTGTGTGCGTGCAGGGTCCAAGCACTTAGGTCCTCCTCTGCTGCTTTCCCAGGTGCATTAGCCAAGAGCCGGACCAGAAGTGGACCATTCAGCGGGGTCCACTGCGGAGCTGTGATGTGGCATCCCAATTGGACCTCCGTTCAAGTCCGGGCTGTTCCATTTCTGATCCAGCTCCCTGCTGGTGTACCTGGAAATGCAGTAGAGGTTGGCCGAGAGTGTGGGAGGCCTGGAGGAGCTCAGGCCAGCCCAGCTCTGGCCATTGTGGCCATCTGCGGAGTAAATGGGTGGATGGAAACCCTCAGTCTCCATCTCTCTAACTCTGCCTTTCAAATGTAAGTAAGTCTTAAAAGAAAAGATTTGCTAGAACTTGAGCTGGTTTCCAGCTCTCCCCAGATTTCTTGCTCTTCTTTTCCATCCAGCGCTTCATTTTTGCTGATAGCAATCTTAAAAATGACAAATTTGGAAGAATTGCATATAAGTTTAATATTCCTTATTGAAGTGCTTGGTACCAGAAGTGTTTTGAGTTTCAAGATGTCTTAGGGCCCGGCATTTTAGTCCAGTGGTTAAAGCCCTCGCCATGCATGCACTGGAATCCTGGCAGCCCTGCTTGCCATCCAGCTCCTTGTTTGTGGCTTGGGAAAGCAGTGGAGGACGGCCTAAAGTCTTGGAACCCTGCATCTGCAAGGGAGACCTGGAGGAAGTTCCTGGCTCCTGGCTTCAGATCGGCTCAGCTTCAGCTATTGTGGCCATTTGGGGAGTGAATCATAAGATGAAGGATCTTCCTTTCTGTCTCTCCTCCTCTCTGTATATCTGACTATCCAATAAAAATAAAGAAATCTTTAAAAAAGAAGTCTTAGATTTTGGAGTATTTGCCGCTTCCCCATGTGAGAGCCAAACACTTGCACCTGACAGGTGCGTGTGCGTGCCCTGACCGCCTGGAGGAAAGCGGTGTTAGCTGGCCCTTCTGGTCTGGGTTTCCTTGTGGTTAGTTGTGTTGATATTCCAGCTTTGCACACTGAACTTGTTGTGTCTCTTACCAAAGATGGCAGGGCCCCCTGCCTAAGCCTTGACTGCCTGGAGACTCTGAGGCTGCGGGGTCTGTCCCTGGGGCCCTCTCCCCACCCTCCCCCCACCCCCCCGTTCCGCACAGACAGCTTGGTCTCTGAGACAGCCTTGGACTTGTGGGGTGGCTTTCTGGACCCAAGCGCTACAGCATGTGGCGCTGGTCACCTGACTTCCAGGGCTTGAAGGTGGTGAGAGCAGTGAGGCAACCCCAGGCCAAACCAGCAACGTGTCCCACAGTAAGGGTACTCAGACAGACCTCTGGGTGCTGAGAGAACTCCTGGCTGTGGACTTCTTCAGTGTGGGGGATGCGGGAAGGCCTCCCCTGTGTTCCCATGCGTGTCCACAGGGCAGACTTGGGAGGTGTCACACACTGGGTATCAGTGCCCGCGTTCCACAGTGAGGACCCTTAGCTACTGCTGACCTCTGGGTGCTGAGAGCTTCTGGCTTTGGGCCTCCTCCCTCATCCCCCGTGACAGGGATCTGGGAAGTCATCCTCTGTGTTCTCATGGGTGGTGTCACACACTGGGTGTTGATGACCGTGTCCGGCGGTGTCATACAGCCCTGGTGACATGCAGTTCCTGTGTATCTGTCCCTCCCTGCAGTTTGAGTTCATGATCGAGTCCATCCTGTTTGCCCGGGACGCCTGGCTGAAGGAGGATGGGGTCATGTGGCCGAGCTCGGCCGCACTGCACCTCGTGCCCTGCAGTGCTGACAAGGACTACCACAGCAAGGTGCTCTTCTGGGACAATGCCTACGAGTTCAACCTCAGCGCGCTCAAGTAAGGCCCACGTGGGAGGGGAGGCTGTAGGAGTCCAGCCAGGGTCTGCTCCTCCATGCTTGGCTGCCCCCTCAGTGCGTGGTGGCTGTGCTGAGTAGCCCAGGGTGTGTCTACTGCTCCCTGCTCCAGAGGTGATGCCCAGTGGGAGGACTGAGGGAAACAGAGTAGGACTGGGCAGGACAACTGGGGTGGGACATTCCCACACACTCTGCCTACAGGTGTTCCCCTGATGGAATGCACTGATTCTGATCATGCAGTCCGCTTGGAGAGCCCACCCAAGCGCATGTGGTGGGAATGTCTCCGCCATCTGAGTTCCCCAATGCAGCAGACAGGCAGATGGCATCTGCAAAGTAAGCACAGGCCGACAGAGCAGGCACTCACTTCTGCCAGAAGCTGTGGCACTGTGTGTGCTGGCAACACTGTCCTGGGAGTTAGCTTCCTGAGCTCTGGCTCTTAGGGAAATTGGCTGCTTGTGGAAGGAAGAACCCTTATTTATGCTGGAGGTACCAACCTGGGACCCTCCACAAAGACTGGATGTCGCTGACCCGCAGCAACACTACCGATGAGGCTCACTCTTGAGGGTCTGGGGAAAGCCGGAACCGCAACCGGACCCGTTATTGCCAAAAGTGGCTGCATTTATACCCTTCTCTCCACTGCCTTTATCCCAGTTAGTCTCAGCTTTTCTCCCTGCTTCTCTAGCCCTGTCTCCGCTACTTTCCTCCCTGTTCTCCTTGTAGGCCTTATTGTTTCGTACTGCTTTTGTACCCCTCTCTGCCGCTTCTCCCTGTATGCCTTAGCTTTTCCACCCCTCTCTGCTGCCCCGTTCTTCTCGTTCTGTCCGTCGTTCTCTCCCCATCTTTTTCCTCTTCGTCCCCCTCCTTAGCTTTTACCAGCTGCTTTTATACCGTTCACCAATCACTTCTCCCCGTGGGTCCACTTGGCATTACCTGATAGGCCAGTAGCAATGACATAATCGCAGCGAGGGCATCAGCCTATCCCTGTAACTTCCTGTTTACCTGCTGGCGAGACCAACCCCGCCTCCTGGCCCTGGCCCAGCCGCCATCCTGCAATGGCCTTTCCTATACTGGGGAGCAGCTTCGGCACCCCGCTCCCCACAACTGGGCCCTAATGACCCCCTGTCCCCATCGTTCATAGAGCAGATGCGTGAGCAAGCATGTGGGGGTCCTAGGCTAATACCCAGCGGTCAGCTTTTGACTGAGTTGTTAGGACCAGCATCTCAGCAGCCTTGTATACCTGACTGTGTTAGGGTCAGCGTCTCAGCAGCCTTGTCTTTATCTGACTGTGTTGTTTATGTGATGTGTGGTTTCTTGGTAAGTGACTATGTGTTTTGCATGTGAGCCTGGTTTTTGCCCACAAGCAGGCTGGTTTCTACTTTAACACCCTCTTCAGTGGGCTTCAGGTTTCCGTGGGAGGTGACACCCCGACGAGGCCTGATGGTGAGGGAGGTCCTGCTCAAAGAGCAAAGGCACAGAGGATGCAAGCTCTGTTCTGTGATACCAGTGCCATGGGGAGCAGGATGTTGTGCCCTTCTCGAATGTTCCAGAACCTGGGGAAGTGGCACTGGGAGAGGCTGCAGGTGTGAGAGCAGATGCATTCGGACTGACACGGAATGGACAGATGTGAAAAAACAAGGTGACCTTGAGGCGTGTATGTCAGATATTGGCACTCGTTGGTAGCCTGTGAGGCAGGAAGCGTGGGAATCAGAAAAGAGCAGACAGGGCCTGGTGCTGTGCTGTGGTGGTCCAAGCTGCCGCCTGTGGCTCTGGCATCCCACATGGGCACCAGTTAGAGTCCCAGCTGCTCCTCTTCCATCCGGCTCCCTGCTGATGGCCTGGGAAAGCAGTGGACGAGGGTCCTAGTACCACCTGGGAGGCCCAGAGGAAGTTCCTGACCTGGCTTCCGCCTGGCCCATCTGGGGACTGAACTTGCTTGCTCCTTCCCTCTCTGCTTGTGTGGAAGCTGACTCTCTCTCATTTCTCCCAGTATTTGTGACTCTTCCAAATAAATTTAAAAAATCCCAAAAAACTAAGTGAGCAAAAGCATAGCTATAAAAGGTTGTCTTGACGTTACTTGACAGATCTTAGTGTGAGGGAGGGAAAAGATGAATAGCGAAGTGAAACCATAGCAAATCACTTGGAGAGCACATCATAAATAATAAAAGTAGCTGTAATATTTCAAGAATTATAATGCTACTAGCAATTAAAATACACATTAAAATAGTGCTATCTGGAAAGATATCTGGATGATTAAAACCAGGGCAAGTTTAAGGGACTCCTACCGTGATGCCGTGTTGGAGGCCGTGTGTGGTGTGCCTGGAGCTGTGGGGCCAAGGAGCTGAGTCCCAGGTCCAACCCGCAGTGCAGCCGCAGCCTGGGAGTCCTGGAAAAAGGTGGCCATCCCTAGGAAAATGACTAAGTCTCTGTGTGTTATCTGACAGTGCCCTGAGTCTTGAGGACTACGTGGTGATTTCAGCAAAGGGTTTTAGTCAGAAGAGCCTGCTGTGCAGAAGGGCTTCTGTGTTGCATTAGTAAATACACATTTACATGCGTGGTGTGGGGCAGAGTAAGGATGCCACGGTGCTAAGGCAGAGCATAGAGGGTTAGCTTGTCATTTTCCGATCTGCTTGTACATTTGTCACTTTTTGTATCACAGACTATTCAGAAAGAGAGATGTGTAACGGTTTCATCAAAGCTTGCACCTTTCTGTTATTTCACAGTGATGCCACTGTGGCCGGCCCTGTGATGAGTGCAGGATGTGGGGTACATGGGGGTCCTTGGGGCTCAGTCTCTGGGAGAGGGCATGGCCGGGGCCTGGGGAGCACAGTGCTGCCACTGTCAGGGGTGTCACAGTTACACACATGTGCTTCAAGCCAAGGATGTCTGTGTAATTTTGATCACTGTCTTTGGCCTTTCCCCCGCAGATCTTTAGCCATTAAGGAGTTTTTCTCAAAGCCCAAGTACAATCACATTCTGAAGCCAGAAGATTGTCTGGCTGAGCCGTGCACCATCCTGCAGCTGGACATGCGGACAGTGCAAATCTGCGACCTGGAGGTGAGGCGAGAGGCGGCCTGTAGTGGGCCGTGCAGTGCTGGGTGCGCTGAGGGAATCTTCCAACCTTCTGCTACCAGTTTTCCCTTTTACTCCTGCTGTTCTGTCATTGCCATTCATATTTCGGCATCATTTTCTTTATAATCACTTTGGCATTTTCAGCTGCTCTTAGGTTGATATTTCATATTCTCAGCCTCTGCAGAATCAGATTGCATTCTGTGTTATTGTGGCACAGTGCTGGAACTAGATGTTTTTGCAGAGTATTCCCCAGGAGTTGGGGAGTCACGGGCCTCTGTGGAGTTGGTGGGCAGCCCTGGGCTCACATGTGTGGGGCTGTGGGCCTCAATGGAGGTGGTGGGCGGGCCTGAGCTCACGCGTGTGGGGTTATGGGCCTCGGTGGAGGTGGTGGGCGGGCCCGGGCTTACATGTGTGTTGTGTGCTTGAGCGCAGACCATGCGGGGTGAGCTGCGCTTTGACATTCAGAAGGCGGGCACCCTGCACGGCTTCACTGCTTGGTTCAGCGTGCACTTCCAGAGCCTGGAGGATGGCCAGCCACCGCAGGTGCTGAGTACCGGCCCGCTGCATCCGTGAGTCAGGAAGACAATGCCTGTGGAGGGCGAGGCAGAGTCCCACTCTGCCCTGTGCGGCCTGCCTCAGTCACCTGTGGGATACCCTCCCGCTGAGCAGACCTGCTGTGGAAGAGCGGACTTGTCACACCCCAGCACACAAGAGGGGCTTCCCCTGGGCATTTTGGGGGCGGGCATGGAGACCCTGTGGCTCTTGCCCTGGGGGCTTCCCTTGCCTCAGTGGCTACCCTTGATGCCTGCTTGTCTCCTGTAGCACCACACATTGGAAGCAGACACTATTCATGATGGATGACCCAATACCCGTGCAAGCAGGAGACGTGGTCACAGGCTCAGTGGTGCTGCAGAGAAACCCCGTGTGGAGAAGGCACATGTCAGTGGCCCTCAGCTGGGCGGTCACCTCACCACAAGACCCCACATCTCAGAAGGTTGGAACTCTGGCTGGGGCGTGCATTTGGGGGCGCAAGTCTGGGTAGGAGTAGGCAGCAGGTTTCCAGAAGGTATCTTGGTTGAGTGCTGGGAGTAAATCTCTACTGCCTGGCCCGAGTACAAAGGGCTGTGCGAGGGGCTGGGCTGTGCGAGGGGCTCCTTGTGAAGGACGCTCCATTGAGAGAGGGCTTGGGGGCTGTGACAGGGAGTTCAGGGACTGTGCTGGGGTTTCAGCTATGAGAGGGTGCTCAGGTGTGATGGGTGCTCAGCTGTTGGGGAGCATGGGGGCTGTAATAGGGTGCTCAGCTATGAGAGGGTGCTCAGCTGTGAGAGGGGCTCCACTGTGATGGGGACTCAGCTGATGGGGAACATGGGAGCTGTTATGGGGGGCTCAGCTATGATGGGGGTCCACTGTGGGGAGGGGGCTCAGGGCTGTGCCTCCAGCTGCGAAGTGGGGTGGGGTGTGCTCATGGGTGGGGCTGTCAGCACCCACCTCTTCAGCTGCCCTTTGTCCTGGCTGTACATCTCAGATGTTGCCAATAGAGGGCCATCTTCCCTTGGACTTGGGATAACCTGGGAGACAAAAACAAAACAAAACAAACAAACAAACAAAACCCACAAAAACCGGTTTCTCTTTTGTTTAATACTTGTTTTGTGCTTTGTGGTTGGTAAGTTGATGTTAAGTTTAAATGTGTGTCAATTAGAAAACATTCTGTACCTGCATATTGCATTGCTAGGAAACCCTACTTGTTAACTGAACGGAAACGATTGGTTGGTGTCTGTCTTTCAGGTTGGAGAGAAAGTCTTCCCCATCTGGAGATGACAGCTGTGTGGTCCACGATCCTCCTGCCTGCAGGGCACGCGGGGCCCTGGGTGACCCTACCGAGCCCTGCCCATGCCCTGCCCACGTCCTGCCCAGAACCTGACCCCTAGAATAGGCTGTTCCCAGGTGTGTGCCCAGGGGACGTGCAGATCATGGCTCGGTGTTGCTGGGCTAAGTCCAGTCCTGAACCCTTGGACGCATGCACCTCCACTCATGAATCTGGGACAGTGACGTTGCCACATTGTGTGTTGGTGGTGTCCTTGCTGCATTGGCCCATCCACTCAGTGCCATGTAGGATTCTGTGGGACTGTGTGGGAGGCAGAGCCACTCTGGGTGTGGGAGACAGTGGCACACGTGGTGGGCTCTGCATGGGATAGTCCAGTGTGTAGGCATCTTCCCAGTAAATTTTGTGCTGGTGTATTGTATGTGACCAATACATATTTTTTAATGAACTAATAATGTGTGTGCTCTATCCTGTACATACATGCCATCATGCTGTATGCCTCTAACCTTCTCTCACTATTGGGAAGAAACTTCCACATCTGTGGATGCAAAGCTGTAATTTTTCTTTTCTGTATTTCATTAGTAAGATTTTGCTGAAAAAAAAATTATATGCTGACAACTGCACTGTTCTTGAATGTATAGGTGGATACTATGTCAGTGCGGGCAGTCCCCTGTGCCCCTTGCCTGCTGTGCCCAGCCTTGCAGCACAGTGGCTGCTGCACCTGGTGTGAGACCTCACGTGGGTGGGTTGCTCTTGGAATGCTCCCTGATGGAGACTGTGTAGATCAGTGTCACAGTTGATTCCTCCACAGCTGTGGGTAGGCATCTTGTTTCATTCATGTCATGTTCCAGCATGTGGCCACAGTTGATCTGACACAGTCCCAGTATTTGGCCTTTAGGCTGAAGTAGCACGTGAATGCTGGGTCTGCCTCTTATTGCACTTTCACGGGCGTTTCAGTTGACCTGAAACTCTGTCCTGACACCATTGGGAAGCATCTGTTCCTCCCAGGCAGGATTAGAGTCCCACGTTCCTTGTTGTACTAAGTGCTGTGGTTCCCATCTGACCAATTCTGGTGGGCATCTGGACTTAATGCACTGTTCCCCGAGACTACACATTTCAATGCATTTACTGTTTATGTGGATCTATTTTTTTCTGAACTGCTTATTCAAGTCTTCTGCTCACTCTGTTGTTAGGACCATTAAACTGGTTTTGCAGATGTTCTTCAATGTAATCTGGTTAGGAATCTCTTATCAGAGAATTTTCTTTGCAAATATCTTCTCTCATTCTGGGGCTTGTTTCTCATGGTCCTGGCTGTTGAAGTAGAATGGGCACTGAAGACAGGACACCAAAGCCAGGTATCATGCTTGTTCAGTATTGATTTATTTTGAAAGATGTATTTATTTATCTGAAAGGCAGAATTAGAGACCTTCCAAGCTCTAGTCCATTCCCTTAGTCGTCGTAACAGCCCCAAAAGCAGGAGCCTGGAACTCCAGGTTAGCCTCCCAGGTGGGTGGCAGGGGCCCAAGCTCTTGAGCTGTGTTCTGCTGCCTTTTCAGGCTCATTAGCGGGAGTTGGTTTGGAAGTAGAGTAGCTGGGACATGAGCTGGTGCTCATGTGGGACGATGGTATCCAAGGGCATCTTCCTTTGCTGGGCTGCAACGCAGGCTCTGGGGATTGTGTGAAATGGGGAGAAATGATGGTGCCAGGGGATGTGGGATTGCTGCTTTTCATTGGTTTTGAGTGTAGTCTTTGGCAAATTGAGCAGGGTTTCCCCCTGTTGGCCTTGGGACATGAGCTTCCCATTGATGATAATGAATCAAGTGCAGAGGGTGGTGCTCATGGGACCCATGTGCCTACAAGCTGCCGGGACAAGAGCCCGGGCTCCAAGGGGTGATGGCAACCACCACAGCCCCCTTCTACCAGAGCAGGTCACCAGCCTTGAAAAAGGGCAAATTGGGTATTTTCTTTGTATGTGAACAAAGGCATCCTTGTCTAAGTTGAAAATACACTCTCTGTCCGCAGGATACACAGGGGCAGAACAAACGAATGCTCCAATGTAAGTCTAGATTAGATACAAATAGACCTGAGCTAAACATTCTTTTCTAAAAATGGAAAACTTGAAGAGAAGGCTGCTTATGTTACTCAAAATCATGTGTTTGAGGTTCTAGAATTAAACCTCAGGTCAGCTTACTTTTCAGTGTATCCGTATGCCAACACCATGGCAAAGACAGTAGTGAGTCATCCAGCTGGTGAGGGCAGGGTTGAGCTGGATCAGGCGGGATTGAGCTGGACCCCTCTTGGTACCCACTTGGGCACTCACCCAACCTCTGCCCTTGCTTCTCTAGCAAGCCTCACTGCTCTGTGTGCAACGACTGACTGTGGGCACTGCCCGCCTGTCCTCTCAGCTCACTGCTCCTCTGGCACTGCCTTAGAGTCATGGGAGAGGCTAGAAAGCAAAAGATGCTTTCTCACCTTCCTTGCTTGACACCAGTGACAGGCAAGGCTCACAAACACCTGAGAAAACCAAAGTCCAGGAGGACTGAGGCAAGAATGGGAGCATCCTCAGAGAAGCAGCTGTATCCATACAGTGCAGATGTGGAGAGAAGGGGGCATCTGAGGACAAGATGTGTTACTGGGAGAGGAGGTGTGTGGCAGGGCGGGGTCCCTTGCTGTGGAGTAAAGGGTTAAGTCACTGCCTGCAGCACTAGCATGCCATAGTGGCTCAAGTTCAAGTCCCAGCTGCTCTACTTCTGACCCAGCCCAAGAAGAGCAGTAGAAGATGGGCCAGATGCTTGGGCCCTGCTCTGGGTGGGAAGAAGCGCCTGGCTCCTGGCTTTGGCCTGGACCAGCACTGGCCATTACAGCCGTGTGGGGAGTGGACTAGCAGGTAAAAATCTTTCTCTTTGTGTCTCCCCCTCTCTGTGTGACTCTGATTTTTAAGTGAATGAATGAATGAAAGAAAGTATAAGTGATTTGCATTATACCTACAGATAAGGTTCCAGAGATGCCAATTACAAAGGAGCAGTGGTACCCATCTCCCAGGAGCAGATGTAGACCATTGTTGCCTTCAGAACCTGCACTCTTCTGTCCAGCCCTGGCCCAAAGCTGATGAAATGGCCGGAAAATGAAGACAGGATTTTACAGAGCATAGGGAAGGGAACCTTATCACAAAACATGATCTGAAGTTGCAGGGCCAAGGGGAGCAATCAAAGGCTCACCCTCAATCCGTGTAGCTGTACCCAGAGCAGAGCAATGAGAGAAGGAATAATCTGTAAGAGAAGGAAGACCCAGAAGTGAAGTCACAGTTCTTCATGCTGGAGGACTTTGAGGCGAACAAATCAGGGGAAAACACTCCAGAGAAACTCAGCGACAAACACAAAGCTCTAAAGCACCAGAGGTCGGGGGAGAAGGGTGGCCGTTACCTGTAAAGCAGTAACCATCAGAAGTGGATAAGCACCAGAAGTTCAACACAGCCAGCCAACATGTAACTTCAGGCCTCAGAGCTGCTTCTCTCAAACATCACCTTCCTTTAATCAGTGTTGGAGGATTCTGGGAATCAAGGTTGTGGAATAAGAAGCACCAGACTACACTTGCACTGGTGGAGTGTCTGGGATTACAGAGCCTATTGGAGTCTGACAACTCCCACAGGAAGGTTTAGCTGACTGCAGATCTTTTCAATCTATGGTAACTGCAGTGATGGCTCCATGTCCTTCACCCAGTCCTGTACTGAGCAGCCCTGCATGTTCCAGGCTCAGCTTACGCAGTTGACAGAAGCCGAGGCGCCCACAGAGGCTGCTGTGTTCCAAATGTTGGGAATCTGTTTTCCAAGCCTTGTAACATTGTGTGTCACAAAAGTGTAGACTTGGAGACTGCAGCCATTGTTGTAAACCGCTTTCCCTTGCGCTGAAGTGACTTCTGGGGATCCCAAAGGACCCACAGTTTTCTTCCCTCTTAATTTTTATTTGACCTATTTAGAGTCAGATTTTGAAGATTAGAACATTCAAAAGCAAGTGTGTATAAAAGGGAAATAGAAAGTCATCCTGCACGCGAGACGATGCAGGCTCAGAAAAGACCCCAGAAGACTCTGAAGCGATATATAGCTAATGAAATTCTATCAGTAATCAAAAATCTGACAAAGCCTTGAAGCTGAAGGCTGCACCTGTGGATTCTACAAGCATTTAAAACGAGAACTAACAGAACCCCTCACTGGTTTTGTAATTGAACAGGGAAACTTCTCGGATGCTTTCTGTGAAGTTAACATCACCCCGATATCAAAGGCAGACAAAAGCACTACTGCACATGAAAACAACACACGAACGTGTTTATGAAAATTGATGTAAACCGGTCTTGACAAAATACCAGCAAAAGTAATTCGGCAACACATTTACATAATTATGCACCATAACAAAGTGGGACATTCTTTCCCATGAAAGGTAAAAATGGTTCAACATGTGAAAATTAATCTGTCTTATACACATTAACAGAATGAAGGAAGAAACAGGTATCTTAGGTGCAGAAAAAGCATTTAGCAAAAGTCAACATTTTGTTAAGGAAGACACATAACCAGGAATAGAAATACTCCAGGATGAGAAAAGCTATCCACAAGTCCTCACAGCAAACTTCACACTTGGTGGTGAGGGATGGAGAGCTTTTCCATTGAGGCTCAGAGCACGGCAAGGGTGCCGTTCTTATCATTTCACCCAGCAGAGCCCTGCATGTCCTACCTGGTGCAACGAGGCAAGAGAAAGACTGGCAGGCATCCAAAGAGAAAAAAATAACACTATCTGTTCATAGGTGATATCATCTTGTATGTGGGAAATGCTAAAGATCTCACACACTTAAACAAAACCTGGTAGAAGCCAGTATGAATTTATTAAAGTTTCAGCCCACAGAAATCAGCTGTATTCAAACAATCTGGAAAGGAAATTGAGAAAGTAATTTCACTTACAATAACAGAAAAAGGACATCTCTTAGGAATTAGCCTAATCAACACGTGAGTGACTGATAAACTATAAAAAATATTTCTGAAATTAAAGAAGTTGTGAAAAATGAAAATATATCCAAT